GGTCAATGAAGTGACCAGAGAAAGAAAAGAGCAAAAATCTAAACGCACTGACACGTTGTATTATTCACTAATCTCACTTACAAAATCAACTCTAAAATAGGTACAAAAGTTCAGTATTTATAATAGGAAAAATATAACTGCCAAGACAGTTAAACAACAGCTGCCTTGGCTAACTAACTAACTGACTCGGCTTACACTCTAACACTCCCCTCTAAGCCGAGCACCTAGGGAGGTAGGACCCATCCTCGCCAGCCTACCTTGCGTAGTGTCAAGACTGAACGGTGTGTTCGGTGACACGTAGAACTGCACTTGCCAGTCCGTTGAGTAATTGTCCTTGCCAATCACGTGGCGAAGGCGGATGCCAATTTGAGCGAGCTGTGTGACCAAGACCAAACGGTGCGAAAGAGCAACTAAGTGACTTGACCGAACGGTGTGAGGGCACAAACTGAGTGCGCAGTTTCCAGTTTGACGCTCTTGAGCTACGCCCTGCTCGGTTGAATGAATGTTGTGGTCGGGTGTTTTGGTGTTCGCGTTCTTCATGTCTCGGTTCACCTGTGACTCCCCATGCCTCTTTGGCAACATTCCCTTCAACGTTTTTCTTCTTTCCAGCTGGAAGGTCAACTAACTTCCAGGTTCCATTCTTCCCAATGGAATCAACTTTTTCTTTCATTGCCTCCCTCCACACAAATTTCTTTAAGTCTTCTGTTTGACCGATCGATTCTGCACCTGCAAACATAGCTATGTGCACCAGATTTTCCTCATCACCAGTATGTGTATTAGTATTCACCTCACGTTCACAAAATCTCTTGGCAACTTGTGTCTCCTTCTACTGCTTCCAGATTGCACATTCTTTCTGCTTCTAGAGTTTAATTTTGGCTCTACTATATTGCCAGATTTTCCACACATTGTAGACTTCACTAGGTTGATATGAAATATTCTATTCTTCGAGATCTTGCTCCTCAAGATCAGGTTTTTGCTTTTATCAAACAGCTCAACCTTATTGAAGTCTCCCATTACTACTGTAAAGCCTTTTTGAATTATCTGGCCAATATTCAGAAGATTGCACCTCATTGCAGGCACAAACAACACATTAGTTATAATGACACGCGAGCCATTCTTCCTTTTGATAACAACATCACCAATTCCCTCTACCTTTGAAGTGCTTTCATCAGCAAATTTCACCTTACTCTTCTTGGTTTCATCAACATTCACCAATCATTCTCTGTGGCACATCATATGATTCGCACATCCCGAATCCAAATACCACAATTGATCTTGAGAGTATCTTACTGTAGATGTAGTTGCCATCAATGTGAGGGGTTCTGAATCAAACTCTTCTTCAGCTACGTAGGCCTCATTTCCTTGACCCTTCTTCTGCTTTCCCTTTTCAGTATAACACTCATTAGAGTAGTGCCCATACTTATGACATTTGTAACATTCAGCATTCCTTCTGTCTTTCTTGCGGAAGTTCTTATCTGGTTTGCCTTCTTCCTCTGTTGAAGACTTATCCTGATCTTCACTGCTCTTATCATTTCTCCACTTCCCTTTACCACGTTTCTTCTTCCATTTCTTGAATGTCTTCTTCTCTTCATTCTTGGAATGATGCACCTTCAATGCTTGATCATTCCTTCTGATTGGATTTCTGTCAAGCAGCCTCATCTCGTGTGCCTCTAGGGAACTTTACAATTCTTTTATCTTCATCTTATCCAGTTATCTTGACTCTTCTATAGCCACAACTATGTAGTCGAATTTCTGAGGCAAAGACCTCATGATCTTTTCAATGATCATTAAGTCCGAGATGATTTCTCTGCATCCCTTCATCTGATTGGTGATGGCAATCACTTGGTCAAAGTATTCTCTGATTCTATCACCTTCCATCATCTCCATCAACTCATATTGCATCCTTAGCGTCTGTAACTTATCCTTCTTGATCTTTTCACCTCTAGTATGACACCTGATCAAGATACTCCAAGCTTCCCTTGCAGTCTTCGCATGCTGGATTTTCTCAAAGTGAGCATCGTTTACACATTGGTGAATAATGAACAACGCCTTATTGTCTTTCTTTCTCTTCTCGGCCTCCTGATCATCAGTTGCACCCGTAGGAAATTCTTGATGATTGCCTTCAATCACTTCAAGCACATGTTGGTATTTGAGTAGAACCCGTATTTGTGTGCTCCATCTACTCCATTTTTTCTCCGTGAGAATTGGTAGATTAGTGGACGACATATCACTACTGGCTATTCTTTACACCCTCGATCTTTCACCAAGAAACACATTCTTGATCTTCTTCACGCTTCAATCACCTTTCCACCAAGCCTCCGCCAAGCCTTGATGATTTCTGAAGCTCCAAGTCTCGAACCTGGCTCTGATACCATTGTTAGAAAAGGAAGAGAATGAACGTTTGGACAAGAGAACGAGCGTTTGGACCTAGTGCGCCTAACCGAACACTAATGACTGAACGCTAATGCTTCTGCACCGAACGCTAGTAACGCACACCAATAGAATGCTGTCGTATTGACGCCAGAGAACGAACCAGCAGGGCACGAACAACACCGAACGCTCAAGTACTGTTGCACCGCACGGTCAATGAAGTGACCAGAGAAAGAAAAGAGCATGACTTTAAACGCATTGAAACGTTGTATTATTCACTGATCTCACTTACAAAATCAACTCTAAAATAGGTACAGAAGTTCAGTATTTATAATAGGAAAAATATAACTGCCAAGACAGTTAAACAACAGCTGACTCGGCTAACTAACTAACTGACTCGGCTTACACTCTAACAAAAGGTAGGACATATTTGATCATATTTATTGTGAATTTAAGACTTTGGTATGACCCGTTCAGATTGTTTACTAAGCATCAGAGTATCTTTGACAAGTACCCCCGATCAGTTTGGAGAAAGGACGAAGGAGAATTTGGACTGAGGATGGATACAACTACCCAAAGAGGTAAGGAGTAAAAGTGTAAAGGTGTGTTTTGTGGAATTATTTTACCCTGTACCCGAAAAAAATTTAATCTATATAATTCAATTTAATCACTAACCTAAATATTCTGCTTTTTTTAGTTGTTCATTGGCGTTTTATATGAAGTTTAATAATTGTGGTAAAGAAAAAGTGCTCAATAAATGAAGGCAGGTTTTGTAGCCACTAAAAAACGAGAGAGAAAAGAAGACGTTACGCTTATAAAAAAACTTACAATAACTTTATCAAATGAAAAGGTGACAGACAGACTAGTTATTAAAATATGGTTTGTATCTCACCAAACACGTACTTGAATTTATTTAGAGTATGGTTCATCTCACTTGTGTCTTTGTTTCGAAATTCAACATTCATGAATTTATCATCACCCATACTATTGCATAATAAAAGTTATTCGAAATAAAAGAAATTGGAAGTGTTGATTGAAAGCTAAAACTTGACTGGGGGACCAGTAAGCCTCACCCAACCAACGAATGTGTTTTAAAAGCTACAAAAGAAGCTTGAATTGTGGACGTGTAATTGTGTTGCCAAAACAATTATATGGTTTGGAGAGTTTGATTAGCACTCACTCCAAAATAACTGATTTTTTGATGTACCAACTACACATCTATGATGCTTGGGAAACATTCAATATTTTTTGTTAACAATCAGAATGATAAGCATAAATTCGGCAGAGATTCGTAATGGAGAATATTGCTATGATTATGTGTTGATGCATTGGAAAGAAATATTAAGACGACCATGATGATTCATCGTCGCTAATTAATTCTTTCGTGCCGTTTTAGAGAATCTTTGTGGCATTCTTTAGTGGCCGAAGCAATAAATACTTGTAATGAACAATTATAAATAATTTCAAAGTATCTTCTCCTTGTATAAACCACAATAAACGTTGAGAAGAAATGGGCTTTACTGAATTCCATCGCCAAAAGCTTGTAATAAAAAGTGTGCAGACATGAAAAGGTCACACCCATAGGAGTCCAAGGTATTGAAATCAAGTCCCTACATAATAAGGGCACTGCCTTTAAACTAGTAGGCCTCTCCATGTTTTCCTTTTTAAATTTCATTCAATTCATGTGTAATATTTGCAACTGTTTAATCGATAATTGGATCCATAAATTTGGTGAAGAGGTGTCAAAGAATAGATAATGTTTGAATTGAAATATCAGTAAAATTTGTCTTCTCTTTGGTTAGCATTGGTACGTGTAAATGTTGTGAGTGGTTTAAAGAGGAAATGTTGATTATGTGGTGAGAGAATTGTGAGGTTGATTTGAAACGAGGGATGTTTAGGAATACGTGGTAGATCCATTCGGTTAATCTTAATGTTGAATTCTGGTATATAGTTAGGTAAGCCCTCACCCAATGGGGCACAACGTTACATTTATTTTAATTTTTTTCAAAAATAATTTCGAGAGTGTTTAATAGTTTGTTTAAGTGATTATACAAAAAGGAGTAATGGATAGATAAGATGGTTTTTTTAACATAATTAAAACTCATTATAAATATATATTTTAGAATATATATATATATATATATAATATTTATATTTTAGAATATATATATATATATATATATATATATATATATAATATTTATATTTTATTATATATTGGCGAATAATATTAAGTCAACAGATAAAAATAAGAAAAATAATTTAAGATGATTAAGATTTTTTTAGTTAACTGTTAAAAATACATTTAAAATAAATAAAAATTAAAAAATGATGCTCCATGCATCAAGTTTGATTAAGGTTGACTCAGAAACTTGTGGTTACAAAAACGTTTCAATTTTAATAAATGAATTTTTAAAGTTTATAACGATAATCTAAAGTATGATATGAATTTATTTTAGTTATTTCATAATGTATTTTTTTTTTAAAAAAAGAGGCTAAAATATTGTTTGTGTTGTTGAGATTGTTATAAAATATGGTTGAATGTATTATGCAGAGGCAGCTACAATTGAAAGACGTAGATATTAGAGAAATGTGAAAAGAAGCGGCAGGAATTGCAATACATGATCCTCAACGATCTAGAATCCTTGACTTTTTAGACCCCTCTTTAAGTCTCTCTCTTTATGTGTCATTTTAAATCTTCCTTACCACGAAATTAATAACATCACCCTACACCTTTCAGCCAAACTCTGACGTCCCTCAACACATCATCACGCTCTTCTCTTCTCAACACGGATACATATATTCGTTCCTTCATTCATTCCTCTGTTTACTCTAAAACAGAACACAAACAGAACAGAGAACCAACGCCATGCTTGATCCCGGGACACACCACCCCACCGATTCTTTTCATCTGTACGACGGAACCCGACACAGACCTCACACCACATGGGAACCCACCAACTCTCTTATGTGGCCTTCCAAACCGCCTTTGCAAGAACTAAATCAGGATGATTCCGGAATTTGTTCTCCTCCCATGTGGACCACCAGCCCCCCACACAGCAAAACCGACCACCGCAGCCTTTCACCCACGTCCAGGACCCAGGCCATAGTTAGAGGGCAGAGGGAACTCATGGAAATGGTCAAGAACATGCCCGAGTCCACCTACGAGCTCTCCTTGAAGGACCTCGTGGAGCACCACAGGCTAGAGACCGCTGTGGAGGATCGGAGGAATTTGACCGTCTACAAGAGGGACAAAAGCACTGGCCGTGTCGGTGTCGGTAAAAGGGTTGATAATAAGATGACACAGGTGAAGAGAAACCGGAACATTGACCGTGGAGGTTTCTACCTCAAAATGGGGCTTCCTTTTTCTCTGGGATCTAAGGACAAGAGCAAGAGCAATAAGAAAAAGAGTGAGTCCTCTGGGAATAGCAGTTCAAGAGTTACCCCTAAACCTGATGGATCAACAAAGGGTGGTGTTGATAAGGAGTGGTGGAAGAAGAGCCCTTCGGCGTATAAAGGGAGTGACAGTGGTGAATCCAGTATCAATAGTGGCAGTTCCAAAAGTTCCGGTAGCAGTAGTAGCAACAGCAGCAATAGTAGGAGTAACAGCAGGTATGTTCCATCTTCGTTCAAACCACTTCATAACAGAAATGCATTTTTTCTCTTTATATTGAAATGAAATGGGGAGTTATCGTGTGAATTTGTTGGGTGACTTGTTTCAGTGGTAATAAGTTAGCAGTCCATTGCAAAGTGGATGAATTCTGTCCAAGGACTAGACAAAATTCTTTGCGTGTGTTTTTATGCAATCCTCCAATCTAAACTCGGGTTTAACATGATTCATGCTGCCCTTTATGAAAATTGCACAACTATATTGAAAGCACATAGGAAATTGCATGTTATTGGAGATTGAAAAGTAGCAGATTAAAACTACAGCTATAGTTTCTTTGATAGTTAAACCTTGCAGTTTTGATTCTTGTAACAACGAGATCAGAACAGTCAGTCGTTTGTCCTTCAAATATAACTGGTTCTTAGGAAGCATATCTGCTTGAAAGCCGAAAAAATATCGTGGTGTCTCGATTGTTGCATTCAACCCAATACGTCAATGACTTAAAAAGTCAAAGTAAAATTTCAACGCCCAATAAGGTGCAACGCGCATAGGTTGTCGGGTTGCTTGAACTTCCCTTAAAACAGTACCTTAAATACCAATCCATGACTGTCACGGTTCAAGAGGCGACCGCACCTTTTTCGGTGCTTCTTTTAAGGTCTTTAATATCAAGAAGAAAATGTCCATACTCCAATGTCCAGTGTTCAAGATGTTACACCGAATGCTAATCTGATTAAGCACGGCATTGGTGTAAGACAACCTGGTATCGAGTGTATACTTTGAATTAGGAAAATCGGGTAACCAATTATGTAACATTGTTTATGAATAGTAACAAGGGTAGTAAATATAAATCCTGATACCAAATATTCATTTGCTTGTGTAATATGCCAGTTTAAATGAGTTAGTAATAAATTTTTGGATGTGATGCAGGCGTGAAAAGGGTGGTAGGCTTTGCTGGTTTTTCATTAGCAGACGCAAAAGCCAAACACAGAAGTAGTAAGATAAGGCAGCTTGTGATGGAACACGGTGCTCTGTGATGTTGGTGTTCATGATCCTCGGAAACTTCCTCACAAGTTTTACCGCAAGTGATTTGATAACTGGTGGATGTAAATGTTTATGAGTGATGAAGGTACACCACCTTGTAATCTCGTAAAAGTGCATTGTGGGGATGGAATCTGTATAAATGTCACTGTGCTTCGTGTAATTAAAGCTTTTCTGATTTCAAATATGATAAGGCAAATACAAGCATGCCAAGAGAAGATTTACTATGTTCCATTTTTTTTTTTGTTTATATCCTTGGATGAGTATGAAACTGCTTGGAAACATTTTATGATGGCTTCGATCCCACAATCGAAGTGGTCGTTACTTTAGTGTGATCCATAACTACGAATTAACATGTTCTACGCTGGTATTTGAAAAAAACAACGATGTTCTTTACTTTCTTTCTATTTCTATTATTTATTTATTTCTATTTCTATTATTTAATTTAGCGCCTCTATTTTAAAAATTTGATCCTCTAATTTAAAAACAAAGTACTTGCCTTTCTATTCAAAATGGAAAAATTAAATTGAACAATAACTACTAAATAAAAGGTTGAACGACACTTTAAGAAATTCTCCGTACTAAAACAATACAAAAAAAATATGTAGTGGTTTAATAGAGAAATTTTTTTCAAGTTTAATTTTAGTTTTATGACATATAAATTCTCTCAAATGGCAAACATAATCATAACAAATATTCTCGTTTCTATACATACAATTATCATACTTACAAACATAATCAATGATTACATAAATCAATACTAAACATTCTGAAAGAAAAAACAAAACTAATATAAAGACTAATGCTTAGAAGTAACGACCAACGTGAAACCTTTCGCATAAAGATAACGCTCAATGACATTATTGATGCTCAATATCAAACCTTTTGTGAAAGGTAGTGCTTAACGACAGTTTTAGTGCTCAATGTCATTCTTCTTGCAAAACATCGCATTTAGCGATACTTTATTGCCGCTCAGGATCCTGAAACTAATTTTTTTTCCAGAATTGTTGTGCAAAATGGCGCTCAACAGCTCCACCACTCAGTGCCAAAGCATTTGCAAATATGATTGCTTAATAGTGAAAAGGAACACTTAGTTGTCTGGATCAATTTTCCTTCCATATTTGCACAACTAAACTTGATTTCAGTGCCACCCTATTACTCTTCAACGCCAAACCAAAATTCAGCATACTCAAATTTGTGATTTAAGTAAATTTGCAATTTAAGTGAGATGAGACTTGATTAATTGCTCAAGTTAGTATTCTTTTTTCATATAAATGGTTCAACATAGTTTGTATACATTAAAATCATACCAATTTGTACAATTACTCAACTCCTCAATTTTCTCAATCACAATCGTCCAAACACAAGTCAAAACTCAATTCAATTAACAAACCATATCATTCAATTCAACACAAAACATCAATCACATTCAACAACATCCAATATAAATTAGAATTATCCAGTAGACGCACATTCAAGCAACTAGTTTCCCTTACTTGAAAAATGATCAAACAACTCTAAAACCCTCAAAACATCTTTAAACACACAAAAAACTAGAGCTAACAAAACGGGTAACCCGGCCCGACCCACCACGGGTTGGCCACTTAGTGAGCTAACCCAACCCGACTCATTTATTAGCGAGCCGAAAAAATTTGAACCCGACCAGACCCACCACGGGTTGGTGGGTTAAACGGGTTGGCTCATTGGCTCACTTAATTAACTTTTTTTTCACCTTCTTCTTCTCAGATTCTTATAACATGTTACTTTGATCGATCAAATTGAATCAATAATAATTGGACCAATTGATATAAAAGAAAATGAAACAAAAGAAATATATTGTTATATATATTCTAAGCAATCAAGCATAAAATTTTGCCAATTAAGTTTAATGAGACATACACAACCGTTTGACCAAGAAACTACATATAGCCGTTAACAAAAATATACAACACAAGATAAAACTGTCATGCTTGTAGATAGGTCTAAAAACAAGATAAAACAAATGATATATTCCTGAATTATCCATCTTTTTCTTTATCTCCATCTATAATATTATCTAATCTATAATCTTAGAGTTTTATTTCCAGAGGAAAACTTTTGGAAAGACAGCAGCGCGAAAGGCTCTATTTCTAAGTAAAGGTTGTGCATTTTTAATAATTAATTTAATTAATTTGATTTCAATAAAAAAAAAGATTTGAATAATTAATTTAATTAAAAAAAAAGGTGGGTTGGTGAGCCAACCCGACCCACCACGGATTCAACCCGTGTGAGTTGGGTTCTTAGTGAGCCAGGTCAAAATTGAGTCTCATAAAAATTTTTACATTTTTTTTCAATCCAACCCGGCTTAAACCCGTGGTGAGCCGAGTTGGTTCACGGATTTCAACTCAATTTGACGGCACTAAAAAAAATCATATCTATCCCCATAAATAACATAAACTATATCAAAATACACTATAAAACCTCTAATAAGCAAATATTATTATAGAAAATTCACACCTTACATAAAAACTAGAATAAATCACATGCACCGAAAAACACATAGAAAAAAAAACAAAAAATTAACTTACTCTTTGAGAAATTAACCAAGAGTGAATAATAGTTTACTTCAAAATCACTTTAATAGTTTTCGATGTTCAAATAAATAAAGAAATAGTTAACAAGTTTAAAAAAAAATAAAAAATTCTAAAAAAAAGTTTAGAGAAATTATATAAGATAATAAAACTTATTTATAAAATTTTATTTATACTTTAAAATTTTATTATTAAAATAATTAAATCTATCATTATATACATAGTATCAATTCTAAAATATTATTTTTTATAATTAAAATTTTATCGAATGTTTATGATGTAGAGAAAAAAATATCTATTTACTCAAATTCTTTTATTTTTCAACGAAAACAATCAACAATAACTGTTTTCTTATTTTAATAGTACAATTGAAAATTATAAAACATAATAAAAAAAAACATTATTGACATGGATTAAATTTATTTATTAATAAAAGACCCATAACAAGTATGGAATATTAATGATCAACAAACGCGATTTCACACTAACTGTAATCGCATTCACACCTTTTATTTTTTCTTTTACATTTTCTTGTATTTTTTTTTCCAGGAAATAAATGTTCAAGTCAAGTCCAGAACCAAGTGGATCTTATTTTCATTCACAGACTTCTTTTTAAAAATTGGTTTAATCCTTTTCGACATCCCTATTTATGTACGAATGTCTCAATTGGGTCCTCGTTTTTTAAAGTGTATCAAAATGGTCTCTAATTTTGAAAATTGATATCAATTGAGTCCTTTCCGTTAAGTTGGCTGGACGACGTTAAAAAAATTGATGAGTGGATGCTGAGATGACGAACGAACGCTCGTCCACCAGAGAACGAACGCTCGTCGACCTCTTACTGCTGGACGACCGTTCGTTCCACACTGGACGACCGTTCGTTCCGTGGTCGACGAGCGTTCGTTCGCTGATGGACGAGCGTTCGTTCGCTGGTGGACGAGCGTTCGTTCGTCATCTCAGCATCCACTCATCAAGTTTTTTAACGCCGTCCAACCAACTTAACGGAAAGGACTCAATTGATATCAATTTTCAAAATTAGGGACCATTTTGATACACTTTAAAAGGACTCAATTGATATCAATTTTCAAAATTAGGGACCATTTTGATACACTTTAGAAAACGAGGACCCAATTGAGACATTCGTACATAAATAGGAATTTGGAAAAGGATTAAACCTTACAAATTCTATAGATCTTCTTTGCTTCATGTTATAAATTTCAAAACATGCATATAAAGTAGTACAACCAAGATTAATTAACGATTTTGTTTATGACGAGGAATAACAAGTCATGATCACCAAATATATAGTTATATTCAATGTTATATATATATATATATATATATATATATATATATATATATATATATATATATATATATATATATATATATATATATAATTTCAAGTGATAATGTAAATAGTAAGAAATTTTTAATAGTAAAGTCTCTAAATAATAGAAGCGATCTTCTTCTTTCGTACTTGTAAAATCTATGCCAAATTGCAACTTTGTCTCTCCTGATTTGCAATTTACACCTTATATTTTACAAAAGTGTAATTTTGATTTGGTTTTTAATTTTGTATATGTTTTCTATTTCTTTTATTTTATTATAGGTAAAATTTAAAGCCATTGACAATAAACCATTTGTAAAAACTTAAATTACTTTACTAAAATATACTATTTGACAATTGTAGCAAAAAAAATCATGTTTTGATGTGTAATAATTGGGAAAAGAAATAATAAAAAGGGACTCTAGAGAAGTCCATAAATTATGACAGCACATGTTGGGCTATTGATACAAGAGTGCAAACAACATGGGTCTTAAAATGTCCTTGTTCGCCAAATCAGCAGGTTCTTCCTGCACCTCCTTTTCTTTTTTCCTGTACCCATGTGGACTTGATAAATTGACCATTTTCCCCTCTCCTTCCCAGCCCCTCTTCCCAGCGGCGGCTTCTCTCTTCCACGGCAGGGCCCCTCTTTTAGCGGCGACAGCGTCACCACTTCGTCTTCATCTTCATCTCCTTGAAAATATTTTTATATTTCAAATTGAATATTATAATACATTTTTGGATTTGAAAATATTTTTCAAAAAAAAAAGGAGTGGAGATTTTTATTTTAATAAGGAATAATTTGGGAATTACAAATTTTATGGGATACAAGAAGAAAAAAGTGGGTGTATGAAGAAACACCGCACCAAATCTATTTACTTTTTTTTTTTCTGTACTTTTCATGGCTCCATTTGTCCATGAGTAATTGGCCTTTGATGTTGATTCACCTCCATTACCACTCCCACTTTCACCTCATACATAATGGAGAATGTTTCATGCATATCCAAAATAATTACCATATCTCATTTATACCTACAATTTCAATAATGACAAGGACTTAATTATGCACATAAGAAAATTATGGAGTGCTTAGCAGCTACCATCGGACATTTACGTGACTAATCTCTTTCATATAGATGATGAAGAGAAGGTTTTCAACATATTCAACAATCAATTAATGTGGTTTCCGGCATCATTTATGCTATTTTCTCTTTAATCTAAATTCTATATCTTTCCTTTTTCTTTTCACCTTTTTCAACTCAGTATATGTCACTGATTGAAACGGAAGAATGGACGGAAAAGCAACACTGTTCTCAATTCAACACTTTAAAAACTTTTTTTTATTAGGAAAATATATCCTACTCATTAAGCTGACAGATACACTAATTAT